GATTTGGAATCGTTAAGTTTAAGAATTTCGAGAAATTTTACGCTTTCTTTTTGGTTACAGTGTACGCTAGTTGAAGGTTTATTAATTTGAAGATTTCGAGGAATTTCGTGGTTTCTTTTGGATACAGTGTACACTATTGGTCAGAGATTTGGCCTTGTTAATTTAAGAATTTCGAGAAAGACAGGCAAGAATGCACAGTGCAGAGTGTTGAAAAATTGACGAAAAATACGGATGCAATTGAAGAAACGCGTAACTCCAAATTTTTGATGGATTTTTAGATGTGTATCCTGAAACCCCGATGGTTCGTTGGACGACGTCTCGAACGAAATTAGGTCTAAGCTAAATTGCGGGCTGTGATGAACTCGTGTTCGTTCGATATTTATTTCGTGGAGAATCTCCTAGGTATTCGTTTCGTCGGATAACGAAGGATAACGAGTTACGGGACTGTGTGAACTACATACATATATATGTATAAACTTGTATGCGTATAAACATATACATATGCATTATATAAATATACCTACGTACACACATATGCATATATCCGATGCGACGTCAATATATTTTTATCCTTGGGATAAGGAAATAACGAGAAGAGCGATGTGAAAACTTCGATCGTCGATCGATTGTCGGAAAAAGAAAAAAAAAAAAAAAAAAAAAATGGCCGAGCGGGAGTATGCAGATGAGAAATCGAGTTAAGATTTGTTTTTCACTCTTAAGCCACGTGTATTACAAAGCAATAACTAGAGCTTAAATCCGTGATAAGGTCGGATCTGAGTTGACGATCAGGTTCGACCGATACCTTAGAGTAAAATGGCGGCGTACCAAGTTGTACTCGCGCGTAGCAAGTCGTCCCGTTCACGATCAGCTTCATTTTTATATTCTACTATGCCTATCTTGCTGACACGTATGCACTGTGGATGTTTATCCGAAGATCGCAGCAAATTGCATTGCCAGAGCTATTGATTTTAATCACAAATAGAGTAGTTTTCAAATTCGATACGTTGTCAATTGATTCTGTAATGTGCTCGTATTCGCTTAAATCTCTTTTCTTTTAACATTAAAACTACGAAAATGGTCAAGACGACCGTAGAAATTCTACGAGATGCGAGACCGTGTGCTTTTAGAAAATTTAAATAAATAAAAGCTTCTGTGAGCTTCGTACATGTAGTACTTTTGTACTATGTATTGGGTTATAAAGCTTTCCTATTTTTTTTTGATGGAAACTTTTCACTTCGAGCTCGTTGTTAATTATCTTTTTTTAAAAATACGAGTCCGGATGAACATCCACGGTCTATTGATAACCGCATCATCCCCTGTTGTCCTTGTGTTTCCCTTAACACCCCCGCGAATTTACATTAACTCTTTATTAAGTTCGAAATAAACGAGTCGTGCACGTAGCAACGACGTATCTATTATTCAGTTTCTTTTTCTCTTTTTCTTCTTTTTTTTGTCTCTTTATCTTTCTCACTTTGATTCGTTTCGACACGAGGTATCATGTGTTCTCGATCGAATAAAAACGTTTTGCAATTATTTCTTGGTTTTGCATTTTCCCTCCTCGAGAGCCACATCGTTTACTTTTCTTTGACCAGCGTTCTTCAAGCAAGGTTTACATTCGACCTTTTTTTTTTTTTTTTT